AAAAAAAACAGCTTTGGCAGATGTTTTAAACTGATATTAGAAAGACATTTAGGACTAGCTTCAACAAAACAATCCAAATAGCAGCTGTGTACAACAACAGATTGTTATTATAAAACAAGAGGCTGGATCCCACCTCTGTGGATTATATTGGCTTGTAGAGAAGAGTGGTGACATACTTCTTTTTGTATCGATGCGTTGCACTGAGAACCATCACCCCGTCCTAAAACACAATCACATGAGGAGCATTTAGATGCAAGTGATGATCGCAAAAGTTTTGTGATTGTTGGAAATAAACATTTGAAATGCAACAGTAGCAGTTCGACTAAAAATCAGTAGCTTTCCTACAAAAAATAAGGAAAAGTCAATGAATGTTACATTTTTGATTCAATACAAAGACACTACAATTTACAATATCACAGATGAGGCTTTATATACCTGCTGTCTAACATTTAATGCAAAAGGAATAGGAGTGAAATGTAACACGTAATGGTTAGTGCTCTTTAAACATACATATAATCAACAGTGAAAAAGCTGGCATGTTGTGCTACCTTAATGGAGAGGGCGTACAGGTGGTTGAGCATCACATGGTTGGGTTCTGGAAGCAGTGTTGGGTCACACTGATGAAAAAAAGCAGAATGATTTTTTATCAAATTACCTGCTGCAGGAACCAGTTTCTTACATTATTAAAACAAGAATCAGGTCTGGACTTACAGAGATGCCTGTGTCCTTGTTGAGCAGCACCTGCAGCAGGTGGGGAGGTAAGATAGGAGGATGTTTGATCTTGTCTTCTGGTTTTGTAACATATGCCTCCTGTTGGTAGGGACCAGGCGGAGAACTGGACAAGTCTGGAAAAAATGAACACTATCTTAGTACAGACGCTGAACAAAGCAATGAGACAGAAGAAACTGATCAAGGTACAAGCATGAACAAAAGTCATGAATAAATAAAATGTAGTTGAAAAGTTATCAAAAAATAAATTTAAAAAAAAGCTTGATTACTCTATGTGCTGACTTCACTGCAATAAATAAAGGGGAGCTGACTATTCACATTATGGTAATTATTTTGTATAGTTTTGTTTTATGTAGTGATGCATTCCCCTCCAGAACTGATAAAGTCAGGTTCAAAGTTCTTCTTCTCTTTTGCAGACACATTAGAGTCAAAGGTTTCTACTTAGGGGATTTTGGAAATTAATTTTTATTGCTTCACAAATTTAGAAAATACTGTCAACAGTCACACACACGGGGGGAAAAACTGCTTTTCCTACATTTTCAGCACAAAGTGTTTTATAAATCAGACTAATACAGAAACAAACTTTTCTTTAGAATGTTCATTGGAATAAAACCGGAAAGTTTAGTGCGTGTAAATGCTAGTGAAGTGGAAAATTCTGGCTCAGAGGTGGAGAAAACTTTAAGAGAACCACCTTCAGAGATATAGATGGTTTTAACTAATGTTTATCATCATGAGATTTCCCCAGTTGCTTACTTACTTTAAACAATTATGTTTCGTACTATTTGTTTTCTGAAATTTTTACATTTTATTGTTTTTTAAATGTTGTATTTTTGGCCTTTATTTGCTGAGGTAAGTTGAAGAAAGACGGGAAAAGTAGAGAGAAGAGCGGGGAAGGACATGCAGCAAATCATGCCACAGGTCAGACTCCACCCATTGCTGCCACTTCATCGGGGACTTTAGCCCCTACACATGAGTGGCCTGCTTAACCAGTTGAGCTACCGGGGCACCCTATGTTTTCTGAAAATTGATGTGTAAATACACAAATTGGGCAGTTCTCTATTAAACATGCACTGATTTATATAAATGGCCAAAAAAAAAAAACAACAAAGGGCAAGAAAAGAAACACCTATATGTGTATTTTGGATGTTTTCTTCCTTCTAGTCTGAAATAAAAACCATTTGTTTTTGAAATGGTCATGCACTCAAACATGTTTTAGTCACATTTGGCCATTTTGAGTGCAGATACTAACTAATTACGATATGTGTCATTACCTGAGATGTCTGCTGAATCCTCTGAGTCAATCCTGAGGGCGTCAAAGACTTCAAAGTCGGTTCTTTTCACCTGTATGACGTTATTGACTGTTCCAGTTTTAGATGTCATCACGGCCTGACAGAGCATAAGCAGAAATTTGATATAGATGCTTGACAGTGTAGATGTATTATTTAAATGAAAAGGAAAACAAGGGAAAACTGTGATATGTAGGCCTTCACTCACCCCTGTTGGATCCAGGATCCACTGACCGTCCACACAGAACTTGTACTGGTGCTCTCCCTCTGGCAGGTCCACAATAGCCACAAAGTTTTTCTGACTGGGTTTGAGAAACAACCACAAGTCACATTTTGATCCAAACACACAGCTGAAGCATGAAAAGATCTTCTGAGGTATCTGTTTACCTTTTGTTGAGGGGGATCTTGGTGACCCAGTTGTTAAAGGAGCCAGACACAAAGACTTCTTTGGCGGCTCCGGACCATCTGAACACAGTCGGTCTGGCTTGTGTAGGACTTTTACCGTCGCTGTCCAGGTCCTGCTGCCAGGCCAGAAATTCCTGTAGTTCCTGTGGAGCCTGAGGAGCATGATATCAATGTGTTAATGAGAGCACCTTCCTCTGGTACCCAACAAAACCTCCGACTAAATGGCCGACAGAGAAGAACAGTGAAGACACAGTAAGCTGCTTTGTGTGTCTCAATACTTTTAAAGAAAATAATATATTCTGTTTTCCTGCAAACATTTTTGATCTATACTTTAATTTGTGTCCTCCGGATACAAGAAAATACTAAAGCTTGGTTTTTCTGAACATTTGTGAATGTGACTTATGTGCTTGTTTTTGTCTATGACACGCATCATGTATATTAAAGTATTTTTGATAATATTCTCACAGTTGTATACAAATTTATGAAACAAATATATCTTCCTCATCGTATCTCAAGATTTCTATCTAATGAATACTTCTTGTTGCAACTATTTGATGCCCCCACAGAGATCCTTAACAGACCATAGCATTGTTTTTCATCTTGTATTAGCACCAACCATTTTACAAAGCATACCAAATGTTTTCAGTTTCATTTCCTTCCTTCCAGGCGGCATTTTTTTTGTCAAAACTAAAATCTGTTTGCTGAGAAGTTAAACAGGCTTGAATGACTTATCCAGAACTGTGAACAGAAAGTTGTCTTTATTATGTGTTGTGTTATAATTGTGCACTGCAGGCACAAAGATGGGGCTGTTTTGGCAACACTCTGTTGTAATGCTTTCGGGAAACTGCTTAATGTGGGACTTTAAAGGGACTGTTTGCTTTCTTTGAAGATGGGTTGTATGAGGTAATTATCCACAGTCAGTGTATTGGCTACAGTAGATGCTAGACGGTACAACTTAAGTTTTAAGGAACAGGCAGGACCAGCACAGGAGCTGAACAGTGAACTGCTGTAAACAGGGACAGCGACAAAACATGTTTTACCCATTTTTAAAAAAGGCCTTTGGAGAGAGCAATAGAAAGAGTTAAGTAATCCAAGGGGCTGTCTGTTGGCAAAATAAAGCAGTAAAATTTCTCTGAATACAGAACACACTTAGGCCATGTTTACACATAGCCGGGTGTTTACAAAATGGATCTACGTTTCCAAAAATAACATTGTTCACACCAGAATGTTTTCAAAAAAGCTTTCTTTGCACAAACCCACATAAACAAATTGTTAAGAGTTGCTATGAGCATGCCAAACCTATAGGGGGCAGTGTAACGAGAAGCATAAAGCCATGCGAGCCAATCAGAATCCTGGAAAAAAACACAACAACAAATGGCATAAATTACTTCCTGTTACTTCAATGATGATGGTGCAAGGGTTGTTTGTTTGGACCGACAGAAAAGTGAAGCTACTCCTAAATGTGGTGTAAAAACAAGCACTGCCTTAACAGCATCTATTTCTAGCACAGTAGCCAAACTGTAAACATGGGTCGCACTCATACGACGCTGATGATGCTTTTTGTCGCATACTGTGATGTCAAACTGTGTCTCCTCCTGTCTACATGCAAATGTAAAGACAGAGTTTTTCCAAATCTCCACTTTGGCTGGATTGTCAGATATGATCGTTTTCAGTGACGTGTAGCTTCATTTACCTGTAAACCAAAGGCCCAAACGCATTGAAATGTCATCGTTTGCGCTGCATGTAAACCAGGCCTTAAACAGATGTAGATTTTTTTTTTGGTGGGTAAAATACATTTTGCTGCTGAGCCTGTTTACAGCAGTTCACCACCATCTATTCTGGCTAATACAACTGATTCGTAATAAGGGTCAACTGGCTGATGTCCAGATCTGATATTTGGCATTCGACACCAGGATTTTCGTTTTTACTGCAAATAGACAATTGTGAACAAACCTTTACATACACTTGGCAGTCCTGAGTTCCCAATAACTCCTATAACTCTTAATTTTCTATGATAGAATCATTTTAATATGCATCCTTGTCACAAAAAACAAGATTTAATATCGATCTTCTTGAACTATGGCAAAATCTACCAGCTCAGAAATGTACAAGTATCAGTTTTGGTGATGTAGAATGCTGTGCTCATCAGTTTTTCTTAGTGGCATGGCCTCTTAGCTTCTGATGGGTGATTACAATTGATTACAGCTGCTGACTTTTCTGAGCAAATGTAAATAAGGCCTATTTGCAAACCTCATTATAGTCTGACACAAGCACTACAGTGGGAAAAGTCTGAGGAACTCAGCACAAATCTGAAAAAGCAAATCATTGACTTGAACAAGTCAGGAAGGTCACTTGGAGCCATTTCAAAGAAGCTTAAGATCCCCACATCATCTGTGCAAACAAGGCCGTCGTGCAAAAAGGAAGCTCTTCCTCCAGATGCAGCGCCTTCAGGCTCGACTGAAGTTTGCTGCTGATCACAAGAACAAAGAAAAGGCCTTCTGTAGGATGGGGTTTAAGTGAGGACTTTGGGGAGACCAGTCCAAACTCTTAATTTTGGCCTAATTCAGCCTTCTATTATTATTGTTATTATTTTTTAATGTGTATTTTGGATCATTATCTTGTTGGAACACCTAACTGCATCCAAGACCCAAACTTCTGACTGATGATTTTAGGTTTTCCTAAAGAATGTGGAGGTAATCCTCCCTCTTTATTATTACATTTACTTTGTGTAAAGCACTAGTTCCACTAGCAGCAAAACAGCCCCAGAACTTATTACTACCACCACCATGCTTGACAGTAGCTGTGGTGTTCTTGGAGTTAAAGGCCTTATCTTCTTTCGTCCAAACTTCAGTCTAGCCTGAAGGTGCTGCTTTGGTAGGAGGAGCTTCCTTTTTGCAAACAAATGTGTTTGCACAGCTGATTTTGTGATTCGAAGCTGCTTTGAAATGGCTCCAAATGATTTTCCTGACTCATTCAGGTCAATTATTTGCTTTTTCAGATCTGTGCTGAAGTCCTCAGACTTTTCCGTTGCACTATATTTAAATTGCCTCAGAGAAGTAGTCAATTGTAATCATACACAGGAAGAGGCCATGAGACGAAAAATGATTAACACAGGTTTCTACTTTACCAAAAGTGATAGTTAACCCTATTCAGGACTTTCATGTTGCCATACGTAGAATGTCTTTCAGGGTCCATTGGAAGCTAAGAAAGAATATGTGTAATATAGTTGTTGGTATTTATTATAGATTTTTATACTATGTTAAATAGATTTTCTGATGAGTTGTTGTATTTTTGGTTCCAAATGCATGACAGATGTCCCTCTTTTTACATTTTTACAAATCTTCAAAATAAAAAAAACAATGCCTGCCACCTCGACCAAATGGCCTGGGGTCTGCCCAAAAGTCCTGAGTAGGGTCAAGCTGTTGCATGTTTATTTTTGACCCAGCAGATTTGGTCATATTTCCAGAAGACCTATAATAAATTCTTGAAAGAATCAAAATGCATGATTGTTTTTTGTGACCAAGATTTCTCAGTGATTTCATCACAGAAAATTCTGAGTTGTAGGAGTCACTGGAAACTCAAGACTGTCATGACATACATGGTCTTCATAAGTGTCTGTAAACTTTTTTTTTTACAACAGTATACTAGTCCTATTGACCACCTATCAGCCTCTTCTTGTCACTGGTCTTGAAAAAACTAACTTTTTGACCCCTAATAAGTACCTCATACAACAGTTCAACAAGAAAACCAAACTATCTCTTAAAAGTTAGCAGCTAAACAACTTTTTTTTTGCAAAGAATAAAGAAGAATAACAATATCCTGGTTTATGAGGTTATGTGACAAAACATGAAAATGATTTTTAAGTTTGTATAAGATTTTATACAAAAAAACACAGTATGAAAAATTGTGGTATTCATTTCATACAAAACACAATTATTGTACAGAAACATACCCGTAACTAGTGGTCTTTACGTTATCTAATGCAGTGCTAAGTAAAAGTCCAGAATGTAGGATCTATAGGTTAATAAAACAACGAGCTGTGAGTAGGTTTGTCTTCCTACCTTTGGATCTTCTCTCTGGAACAGGTCTGCATCCTCGCTGCTGTCCATCATGATGTTGGGACGAGCTTCTTTCCCTCCCTGTTGTCCATCTCTGTATGACCTGTCCCCCTGGCCCCCACTGGACCGGTCACTGCTGCTATTCCCCATCCTGCTGCCTGCAAACACAACAACAACAACAACAACAACAACAACAACATGAATCCTGCAGCATCTCTTTGTGTTCAGTCAGAGAGCAGCAGCAGCTACTGACCACTAGGGGCCTTTCTGTTAGTGAAGGTCCCTGAGGACGCAATAAATAAGTCTAATTCACAATTTCTCAAATAACAGAAGTAACTTTTTGTCTGTGATCTGCTGCAACAGGCTTTGCGACTGCACAAACCCCCACCAAGGTCTATTCAGATAAGGTTAAGCTGCTGCAGTCTTGTTTTTCTGTGCATCACTTTCTACACATCGCTGCTGTTTCCGTGTCCGAACTGTAAAAGTTTACCTCCGACTGGAAACACAGCCTTCACCGTCCCACCACTTCACAACACACGAGCTGTCCCAGATGTCTAACCGGTGATCTCTCTTTTCCTTTCCGCTGTTTCTGTGTTTATTCGCTGTTGATCTTTTCGCACATTTTCGCCATTCGGTGGGAACCTGAGTGTTTGTGAGAGAAGTGAAGAAAACACACCTCTTCCGCCTCCTGCCTTCGCTTTCAGGGAGGATTTAACCGTTTGGTCCCCGATGACGGACGCTAATAAAATGCTGTTTAATGTGAGCTGATGGATCCAAACGTCAGATCTACAACATTTTGGCTCCTTTCGACGATCAGATAAAAACGTGCTGGATAGAAAATATCTGGTGGAATTAAAATGTGACTCATTTGAAAGAAAAAGGCACATGGGAACACAGCCTTAAGACTGAGACATGCTTGAAAATGTTCAAAAAGGTGGTATTTACGACCTAATCAGTGGTGTCCAACCTGGGGATCGCGGTCCCCCAAGCGGCCGTAGAATGATCTATATCTTGACACAGCTGAGCAAACATTTTTAAGTTGAATGAAGTTGTTCAAATAAAGACTCGCACATGTCAACCTTTTCAGATGCCCCCCAAAGAAAAATCCACAGTAAATCCAAAGGATCAATAAATGGCAGCGAATATACTAGATTTTAAGACTTATTTTTAAAAATCGATTAAAAAAGGTTGTTCAACTCTTGTACAGATGTTGCAGCAACTATCCTCGTGTCTCTGCATTATTTTACTTGCTCTTCGTCCTGCAGTATAACCAGACTAGTTCAACTCACTGGCTGAAATAGATACGAGTTTAACTCATATAACCCAGTTTTCCTCTCACCCCAAAGAGATTCCAACACCTTCATTGTGACTGAAATGTTGTTAATGCATCAAAATTACCTGATATAATCCATAAAGGCTATATATTATAAAGATTAGAACCCCTAGAATATTTGCAAAAGTTAATGATTTCTTTATTTTATACATAGATTCATCCATAAATCATTCTGATTACAGTCTAAACAAAGATATTAGACATAATAAACATATGAAGCATAAACATCGGAAAGAATACTGTTGTATTAGCTGTAATCATCCTAAAATGCATGCCTGATTATGCTACACAGTAAACTGTAAACTGTTCTTGGGAAAGAAATATTCAATGACAAGAAACATTAAAGTTTCATATAGACACACTTTTGCAAACACCATGGACACAAACTTCTATGTAGATATATAGAAACTGGACGATACAGGTTGAACAGGAAGTGTGCAATTCTTTTTTCCTAACAACAATGTGATTCATCATTTTGGACCAGATCATCTCTGACTCATGTTTGTTGGGAATTGACAAGCAGATTAAAACATTTGCAATACGTAATCAAATTAGTTTAATATGGTTGTGTGTCTAATTTTCCATTTTATTTTATTTTATTGAGAATCAGCTGCTAACGTTAGTTCTAAAAGTGAAGCCTCTAAAAGTTTCCCAACTAATTACTTTTACCGTATGCTTGACTTGTTCGGAGCCCGCGGAAATATGCAACTGCTGATAATCAGTCACTTCATAAAAAGAGAATTCCTGTGAGAATAGAAAAGAATATTAGAAAAGTTAGTGATCTGTAGAACAAGATGATTTTGTCTTTAAGGAGAAGTGGTGATTTTTGAAAGATCTACAAATTAGAAGCTGCACGAAGTGTTTGGCCTATAACTGAACATTTAGGAGAAATCTAGAGTAAAGATGTTCATTCAAACAGAGACAAGGATATATGGAAAAAACGTAGTTGTTAACATAAACCAATTTTTTAAACTCATAGCTATTAATCTACATTTAACTGTTGTTTGGTTTCTTTTTTTCTTGGAAACAAGTAGTCACAGGAATTGAGGACTGTTTGCATGAACTGGGTTTATCAAAGGACACACTGTATGTCTCCTATCTGTATTTTTGGACAAAAATGTGGACTTTACAACTGTTCTCTGCCATTAGAATAATCAGACAGAGGCTGTCACTAAATGTTTAAACTTAATGACTAACATTGCCTCTTTTAAATCATTAACCTCATAAATAATAATCAATGTAGTTTTATGAAGTCTTGGCTCATTTTAAATGTATGTCAAAAATCATTGTCTTATTTTAGTGGTTTGACTTTTTTCACAACACTACATGTGTCCAACTTTGTTTTATTCTATTTGTTTCCTGTTCTTCATAGACTTAGTTGAATATGTTGTTGCATTACTGCCTGTACAGCAAACAGGCAAAGATTTCTGCAGCTCAGCAGTCTTTGTTCTGTACTACGTCTGATTCCTCTGAGACATTCTCACGGTGATCCGGTTTCTTATTATCCACATATCTGAGGGTGTTACTGTATGCACTCAAAATAATAAAAAAAACAGAGTCATCAGTATTTCAGTGTAGAAAAGGTCTTAGTTTTCCTGCTCTCAGTGTGAGAAAGTAGCGCTACAGTCACTATTTCAGACTAAAAAAAAAAACACAGTTTTCTTCCTCAAAACGCTGTGTTGTTGTTTAATTTCACAGAATTAGTTTGATGCTGTACAGCTGTAGAGTTCATATTAATCAACACCAGGGTCTGCAGTTAAATGTGAATATGACTAAAACATGACTACATTAGACACTATTAAAATTTGCAGTATTTGATAAAATGACTACAATTTATTTTATATGTCCAGAACTAATTGAATGTTTAAATCCAACATTTAGGTTATAGTAATGCTACATTCTTGTGTAGCCTTTGCTGTTTGTCATGAAGCTGCTGAAGGACAAACTCACTCAAAGAGGAATTCTGGGTTCTCCTGACATCACTCACACATTTGACCAGAGATTTTTCTTGCATTTTCGTCACACTGTGAATGCCTCTGTTTGCTGACAACGTCAAAACTCTAAAGACCTGACAAGAAAAACTGTAGTTTAGCCACATCCTCTCAAAGCATGAGCATTTGGTATCATTTTTCCCCCACAGAAATATGTTTTGCAGATTTGTTCCAGGATGTTTTGATACAGAAAAAAGGTCATGATTAGTTATCATTCAGTAATACCTTGTCACATTCCCAGGAATTCCCCCTATGAATTTGGCCTTTGGTGCGAGTCACAATTAGAACACATTCAATACCAACACCAACAATAGGATGTAGGTAACAGTCTGATCCTAATGGAAAATTGTCATCACTTCACCTTGCCGTGAAATCATTTGCAATGTTGTATGGAATCTTGACTGAAATCACAAAAATATTAAACAACTTAATCCATCTGTCGCAACTTCACGTGTCCAGTTTTACACTGGTGTTTCTAACCACTTCTGTTTCTCCCGCGGGGATGACTGAGGGTTTGAAAAAGTAGTTGACAGAAGTAAAGCTAGTCTAGATGCTTCGTTTCTGTGGCTGATGACCAACAGTAACAACCTCCTGGTCACAACAACATTTTCTGTTTGTTTCCAGGTGCTGCCGTCAAAAACAGGGGATCAGATGGTTCACAAATGTTTCTCAGGTCCTAACGATAAGCCGCTGATTACACTCTTATATTCTGTTTAATTAGTGCATGGGATCATCATGCCTAAAGATTATATGCTCTATTTTTGGACTTGTAACAGCGTTGATATTACATATCAGAATACACGATCCCTCGAACTCAACAGCTTGCAACAGGTGCCAAAGACGGGGTGTGAAACAAGCCCACTGGCTGAAGCAGAGAGGATATCATGACACGTCCCTTCTATTTAGCAGTGTTTGACCATATCTTTACTGGATCATTAATGCTATTTATTGGATATTGATTGAGTCATTGCTTAAAAAAAGAAATTTTTGGTAGGTGAAAGCTATGAAACCTGAAGATTTTCCAACATTTTTTATTGTATCTTACAAGAAATAGAATTGTTTTATAATTTTTTTCCCCCAAACACTTTTATCAAACTTTCAAATGACATTTCCTTTTTACGCTATAATGCTTTTATAGTTTAGGTTTGTTCAACAGACCATGTTTTGTGAAAAAAAACTTTGATTTTACATTTGTGTACCCACAACTTAAACTGTAAAGCCAAAAAATATTTCAAAGATATTCTGCTGACACTTGTTATCTGCTATCAATGATCAATAGTTACATAAACAGGATAGAATAGATGTTTTAAAACTGCTTGTTACAGGCCTGACTCAGTTTTTCATCAGTGTTAGAACTGTAAGGTCGTCTTTCATGGAGACATTTGCATATTCTTTCCTTTCGCCCTGCAATTACAAAACCTGTACAAAGTTTTATTGCAACATAATTTACACAATAGCTGAAACCATTATCTCTTCAGCTGTAAAGTGAGACTCTGATTGCCCTTCCAAAACCTCCAGGGCTGCTGATGACAGACGCCAAGCAGAGCTCCTTTGCATCACATGGAGCTAATCTCTCCATGACTGTTTGAGTGTCTCTTCTCTGCTTCCCGTTCCTCTTCCTCCTCCAGAGGTCACACCACATGCTGCAGAGATAAAAACAATAGTTGAAATCCGTCTGTCCTTCTGTTAAATTTTGTATTTAACATACAGTTCATTCATACCGTAGTAAAGTGCACAATGGTGTATGCGGTGATGATCCCAAGGCCAATGGCAAAAGAAACAACCCCGAGGTGGAGAGCTTTCCGCCCCAGCCTCATGGAGCCATCGTAGTCCTCCTCATCATAGCTTCTCTGGGCCTGTAGGAGGATTGAAAGACAAAATTCTGTTCATGCTTAGTCTATACATGTAAATAAAGCAACAATTATCCCCATAGTAGTAAATGATACATAGCACAGCCGTGTGTCTTTCACAGGAATCTGTGCAGAACATTGCAAACAAAACCATTTACAGCCTTCCTTTACATCCACATGCATGTGTTACATCTGCACCTGCCTTTCATGTTATCTCTGATTCAGATTTGTAGCGAAGCCAACGTACTTAGCGGTTAGAAACAGTGGATTGCTGCGCCCGCATGCCTCATCTGATTACCCACAGCTACAACGATGCAACAGCTGCTGCTGGCACGTCGATGCAACACAACTCTGTCCCTCCTGACAGCTCAAAGACTTCTATCTAATGCTTCAACTCTTTTAAACTTTGTTTCGTCCTGACAGGTAATGCATTTTTACCAGAGAGCTGCAGGAACAGGTCGACTTCCTCAGGTTGAAACACAGATGCAACAAAATCACTGTAGAATATTGCTATAAGCAGATATGAACATTTTTTAGCACTTGGAAAGGACATAAACTGGAAGTTTTACTTGACCTTAACATACATTAGCAGAAGTATTTGTTGATTATGTTGACCTGTTCAGAGACATAAAGAGGCAAGACTCAGATTCACTCGATACTCAAACTCCTCTCAAATGTATGCATCCACATGTTGTGACACAGGTTGACTGATCTTTACAGCAACTGGCTAAATCTCACAAAAATGTCTCTTGAAGTATATCATCATGTTAAAATAAAGCAGCCATGGTCAGAAACCCCAAACTTTGTAACTCACCATCACGGAGAAAACCAGCGCCACGATATTGATGGGCCATGCAGGGCAGAAACAGGTGAACATGGTGAGACAGAGGTAGTTCTTCATAGGGGGGATCTCTTGAGCCTCCCTGTTCTTCATGAAGTCAGAGCTTCCATCCAGAGAGGGTTCGGCGTTCATGACTGGCTGCAACGTTCCCCCCCACGAGACAGTGCGAGCAGAGAGGCGAAGCAACAGCCCTGAGACACTGGGAGAGTGGAGGTGGAAGCAGGAGAGGGGAGGCAATGGAGCAGTGATGATGGAAGAGAGAAATCAGCCAGCAGAGAGACATGAGAGGGACGCAGAGCAGAGCGAGAGAAGACCGAGCAGAATGAAAAGTGTTGAACAATGAGAGCAAATGGATGGTCCAAAAACAGAGAGACAAAGACATTTTACTGGTTTGCAATATCTTGGCAATAAATATATACATTAGTTTATTAAGCATATATAAGACAACAATTCTAATGTCCTCGTAATTTCTTACAGATTACAGATTTACAATAATTTATAACATATTTATGCCAAATTTATTATATTTTGAAATAATTTATTACACATTTTTTTTAGAATTTTTTATTTATTTTTCTAATCATTTATTGCTATGGTAATGTAACACATAGTAAATTATTACACCTTCATGGTAATATAGAACACATCATCAGTTAGTACATAAAAATGGCATTGTGATGAACATTTATAGTAATTAATTGTACATTTAGTCATCTATTACATATTTATGGTAGTGTAGTAACCATGATAATTTATTATATATTTATTGTGATGTAGTAAGCATAGCAATGTATGACATATTTATAGAAATGTAGTAAAAATGGTAATTTATTGCATATTAATGGTACTGTAGTAAACATTGTCATTTAGTATATAGTCATTTTAGATGTTGTAGTGCAGATATATAGTAATTCATTGTGCAGTTACAGGAATTGAGTGAATTTCATGAAATAATTTAGCACTATTTTATAGCAATTTGGTGCACAGTTTGAAAAAAATCTGTAATTTGTCAGAAATTGTAGCAAGTTTATTTAAAAACAAAATTTACATTGATTTTGTATAACTGTATCTTAATTTGTAGTCATTTTAATCAGAAGTTATTAAATTAAACTTGCTGCAGATAGCATTTCTGTTGTATGTGACATAATAAATGTCTCCATATCAGATTGTGCAGATGGTCCTACACCAACACATACATACCAACTAAAGCCACTGAAAAATAATGAGTTAAAAATCTTAAACTTTAATTTACTTAATTTAAAAAAACAACAACTTTGTGACAATAACTAGCTTGTCTTTTAGCAAAATTTGCATTTCTGTTGAACAACAATGACAGAGGGTCCGTTATGTGCAATAAAGTCAGACAGGACACAAAAGTGGAATGTTTTAAAATAATTTATTAGGAATTTTAAAAAGTTTTTTGTTTTTTTTTTCCAAAGGAATAAACATGACAGGAAAAAAATGAAAATCAGAAAAATGTTACAGTGTTGACAAGATTGTTATTCTTCAGTGAAATCAGCATCAAAGTCTGAAATACCACGGTAGGCCGCGGCAGTGAGAGCGAGTGTATCTAAATGTAAGACCTGGTATTTTGTCGATCGAGAGTGCTTTGTTCTTTCATTCAAAGGAAAACACGTTTATCATGATCGGCCAGTGCAACATCCTAGTAGCTCTGAAAATAATTGTTTTGGTCTAAAAAATAGTCGTCACATTAGTACAGTCTGTGACCTCCAGTGGATATGCAGTGATGGATGGAGGGGGGTGTGACAGGTAAACAAGAGTTAATGAGACCCCGACTTTCATTTTGGAAAAGCCACCTTTTTAGAAAAAGGCCCAACCATCCACACTTGAACATAGATGTTAATGTAATAATATAAAAGTCAGATTAAAATTTCACATTTGCAACTGAGGTACCGCCCCCCCCCCCAAAAAAAACAACAAAACAAAACAAACAGCACATGTAAAAACCATATGACAAGCTCACGCAAACATCAACACAACCTGCAGAGGGACTCAGTCATCACTAATGTGTGCGTGACTGCTCCAGCATACTCGTCCTTCATTTTCCTTCACAAACAATCATCACTTATTGAAAATCACAGTTAAAACAACAATATGATAAAGTAAGAAAATAGCATGTTTTTTTCCTCTCCTGACAGAGGATTGTTTTCACACTCTTATCCCCCAAAAAGTAGTACTTAATGTTTATCCAGCCTCTCTCCTGCTCGACTCAGAGTGTTCCTTCTCTGAGGCAGCTTCTCAATTTGATAGAAGACTCACATGACACATCATCGTGTATAAATGCCTGGAGAGAAATACAGCACATGGCTGGTCTAACGTAGACAGACGAGCCGAAATGTTCTTGACCCTCCATGTGAAACTATCATACGTAACAGTCAAGCTTTCCAACACATAAGGATTGATGAAAGAAGCAATTTGTCCAAAAGCCTCCCACCTCCCAGACACAAAAATCAGCAGAACCCTCCCACCCAGAAACCAGTCATATTTACAATATTTTACAAAATTGTACACCTCATGAAGGCCTATGACATAACTGTGACTAATGACCTTTGTCGTCTGACCATTATTAGTGTAACAAGTCGATGTTAAAAACCTACCAAGATATACATTTTGTGACACATTTTCAAGAAATAGTATTAATCCCAAATGTTAAAATTCAGTATGAACTAGTGACAAATATACAGTTTTCCAGTACATATTACAACTCCTGACCTTCAAACAGGCGTCACCTGGAGATTTAACTCCTCTCGTCAGAGAGATCAGGTTACAGACTTCAAATAACCCAGTAAAACACAGCCAAAACAGATAAAGAAACAACGCAGTCATCACAAAAATAACAGCGAGGTGAAACATAACAGAAAAACAAAAAAAAAACACACAAAAGAAATACAGCATCTGAACGTGTCGCTATTACATGTAGTGATAAACTTTTTCGCTCCTTTTGTGAAGTTTTTTTTTTAACTTTTTTTTTTTTTCCCCCCAGTGAGGTGGCGTTTAGTGAGGTGTCAGTAGGGCCGACTTGGATGTGGCTGGCACCGGGGTGGGTGAGAGGCTCAGCCACCCCAGCTGGAGACGTGGACTGGACAGAGACAGGCCAGATCAGCTCCAAAGCAGCTTCAACTCCTTCCAGCTCTCAGTCTACAGCTCTGCACTGACACACAAAGCAGCCTGATTACTCACAGGTTAGCTAAAACCAAACAGTCTTGTATGTTACCCTTAAAGGTGACAGCGGGCTCGAGGTCTGACTCACACTCTCAGTGATAGCCGTTAGTGAAGGCCGTGGCAATCAAAGGGCCCTGTGGGAGCAAGCATGCGAGGTTAAAGGTCACATTTTTGTTAGAAATTTTTGATGTAATCTATTCTAAATATTCAACCATAATAATAACATGCACACACTGAATTAACTGAACACTTTTAGGGAAAAACACAGAAATATTCCAAAAAAAACAGTTGTACGCTTGGCTCGTGGTGATTGAAAATACTGGATGTGTCTCTACTTTTTTCTTCATGTGTTATTTGTTTAGTAGTTGATGCTAAATCAGCATCAGTGTCAGGAATGTTAAAGAAACAGTTCAATATTTTAAGAACTGACTTATTCACTTTCTTGGCGAGGCAAATGATAAGATCGACACCTTCTGTCCATTCAACAGAACGCAATCATCAGCAGAGGGTTAGCTTAGCTTCGTACAAATCCTAAAAACAGGGGGAAACAGCTAGCTCTGCTCTGCTAAGGCCTGCTAGCATCTCTAATGCTCACTGATTACCACATTGTAGCTTGTTTCTGTAACAAGTGTAAAAAAAAAGCTGTCATGTAATACTGCTGCGAATACAAGAGGGTCCACGTAATAATAATTTGTCATCTCCTCATAGTCATAGGAGTCAGGACAAATGTTTGTGAGCAGCCCAAAATTTGTATGACCACACTTCAAGGGCAACAGTGCAATATGTGGATGTAACTTGCTGCACATGTTTATAGTGGAGTCCTCCAAGCAGACTCCTGTAGATAAGAAAAGTGGTATAATAACAACAGCTACGTGGTGTCGGCAGCTCTCTGTGTGCGCAACTGAGCACAATCAAGTGTGCTCTGCTACATGTGCTGCAGGTGGCACTGATAGTTTTGTAAGCAATGGAGTCAGAGTCACTCTACAGGACAAACCATGTGACATCACCATTTCTGAACATGTTTTTCTGCACTCTGTAAAAACAGTTTTCATACGGGTGCATATCTAACACACAATACATGCGATGATATCAATATATCTGAGTTAGGTCAATATTGGTTGATTATAGTGCCTAATCAATTTACCAGACAGGGTCAAAGCTTTAAAACTGGACCCCTGAGCTGCCTAATCGTCCAGCAAGTTAAGTGAGTCGTCCTTGATACTCATCAGCCTTCTTTCTGAGTTTAAATTGCAGTTCTGTGTCTTCTTAAGGACACAGTCAGTAGAGGCTGACTTCAGGAAAATCTTTCTGTACAGTTGGAGCATCACTGAAACACCAGTTTCCACAGACAGCTGTTGTGCCAGTAGATACCTAACAGCTCATTGTTGCAGCTATGTTTCGGGTTTACATTCTGTAGCCGATCAATCCTCCCGTCTTTATCGAGTCTGACAATCTGGTTTCTTACTTGTTGAAGCAGTTCCTCGTCACGCGAAACCATGTTGCATGAGACACAACCCACGCAAAAACGTGACAAAGCTGCTGTGGTCCCTTAACAACCTCGTTTATGCAGATATATCTAGTTCCAGTCCCCGTGAAAGGCTAAGCTAACCAGCTGATGGGTGTAGCCTTACATTTAATGGGCAGACAAGAGTGTGGTATTGATCTTCTCATCTAATTCAATATGTAGTGATGTGCCACAGTTAAACAGGCATTACAGATTCTCTTTTGTTTACATGGTCTGCTGTCCTAACTTGACACTGCTCAAATATAGAGCTCTTATGTATAATCAGTGGCGATGATAACTCACCCCCAAACTATGGCTGAATCCAGTGCTCGGGGCGGGACTCGCAGCACTGAGGTAACTGCTGACAGCCGACTCCTGACTGGCTGTTCCATAAAGCTCCGCCATCGGACCTGGGCTGCTAGTACCTAAAAATCCAGCTGAGCGAGACGGGGTGGAGCCTGAAATTAAAATAGCCATGTTAGATTGTTACTGTCGCAGTATCCACAAATCAAGGTTTCTTGCTTGGATTAAATCACGTAGAGATGGCTACATTTAACCCTCTGAACCCTCAAATGCTTAAATGTTTGAGACATTTTAGCTTGAAAAAAAATCTCCAAAATAACACCATTTAGCTCCCTAGCTATTCCTCACATGAAGCTCACAACCATGGGGGACCGTGCCTTTTCCGTACTGGGACCACACCTGTGAATCAGCTCGCAGGCTCTGTTAGGGCCTCTGACTCCTTTGGTGCCTTCAAAAGCAGCCTAAAAACTCATTTATTCTACTCTGGTTTTAACTAGGGCTCTGTTTGAGTATTTTATACATATATGAATTATTTAAAATTTTCAGATTTTCATTTTATTACTCTTCTTACTCTGAAGCACCATGAGAATTTAAAGTTTGCTAGACAAATAAAATGTATTATTATTATTTATCAAAGCCAGAAACTGTGAAGACAGAAAGAATTGGCTCAATTTTAACTTCCTGATTGTCCTTGAACTACACATCTAAGATGGCCTGCTCTGCAAAACTAAGCCGAAATCATGGTATTTTATCAGAATTCCTTTATTCTACATGTCTGAATGAAGAAGAGAAAAAGAAAAGAAAAGAAAAGAAAAGCTTTGACTGACCAAAAATGTAGGGACTTTTCGGCTGAAGTGCAGGCTGTGTTTACACCGAACAAACAGGAGACCAGTAGGGAAACAAATTAAAAATCTAAGTAGTTAAATACATATAGTACGTAGAGTCCATTATTGGTAACACCTTTGGACATAAAATGTTGAAATGTTGATTCCAGGTGTTTTAAAGTTTTGTAAAATAAATAATCAACGGCATTATATATACATTCTTGTATCATAACCCTGTCATACTGGACGGAAGACATTTTATGAGTTCTCTCTCCTTCTAGCCATGCTTGTGCTGTTTCCATAGAGGGACAGGACTTTGTATTGCAGTGAAAAATAAATCCACAGTGAGTAAAAATGTGACAGGACCAAAAAAAAAAAAAAAAAAACACCCAGAAACTATTTAGGGTTCAGAGGGTCAAATGGCTGCCGAATACACAGTTATCAAAATTATTAATATCAGTTAAATAAACCAAGGAAATGTCATTCAGTCTACATCATATCTACTTTAGTGTTACAGTTAAGAGAGCACTGACTAGGATAATGAAGAGGACTTAAATATTAAAATGTAAATTTTCTAACCTGTAAGGATTTAAAGTAATTTCTCTAATCTATCTTTTATTGAAATGTAGCTCATTTTTAGCCACACTATCACCACGGTTCATGGGACCGCAATGATTCCCCACGTTAGTCCATGCAGATATTTGCAATTCTGAGTAAAATGTCAGTCTCAGTTGTACTTGGTGGTCATCAGGGCATATTAATAATGAGATTATTTAGGATTTCTGTTGTTTGGCCAGTCATTTCAGAAGTTTATACCTCTGACTACTGCTGCCGCTGCCGCTGCTGCTGCCATTGGTCCGTACGCTGTGAGAGGAATGGCTAAATGGCGCAAGAAGAGAAGATTCAGGTTAAACATCCCAGTTTGGAAGCATATGACAGGCAGCTGTAGCGTAACTTAAGGCCTCGCTCCAGTGACCGCAGAAACTTTATGAACATTTCAAGAGACATGAGGAAGATAACATAAAAACTGCCAATTAGAGCATTGCAGGTAATCACACTATACATCATTTTATCATATAAAAAAAGCGAATACAACCCTTCCCCATTACTGTCAGCAGTCCTGCCTGCAGACAGAACCCGAGGAGGACCGACAAACACAAACATGCAAACCAAAGAGTGATGAGGTGTTGGTGCTAACGTGGCGTGTAGCAGACTGACATCATGCTGCTTGTAAAGTCCAGAGGAGGGACTGACTGACCTGTGAGCTCAGGGGGGTGGGGTGAAGTCAGAAGGGGAGTCCTCTCTAAGTGGAACTCTAAAACAGAAACATCAGAGTGCTGTTGAGACACACACCACCACCGCCAGCAAAGGACAACACACACACTTACACACAAAGGCAGGGAGACACCTCAGAGGTGAGGCAATACAACACACAGGGCTGGAGGAATGCAAAACAGGAGTTAAAGGAAGGAAAGACGCTTTATAATCCAACACAGTAATCATTCTGAAAGAGCAAATAAATAAAGAAAGTGTCACAGTTTTAGCATAGAAACTTCAATTCAAAGGAGTTATTTCAATGTTAGAAAATAAAGTGTCATATTTTGTCTGGTGGGCATCTAATTCTGGAGTTATTGCTCGGATCATCATCACACGCTGCACTGAAATACACTGCACACACACACCCACACACACACACACACACATGATAAGCAGATGCAATTCCACTCCCTGATATTTACAAGCAGCCATTTACACTCACAGTGTTTCACGTGCTTCTATGGAAACATGTTTGTATTTGTGACAGTGTGTCTGCTGTCAGTTCAACATGAAACTACTTTGAGATGGAAAAAATGACGACTGGCCCGCTCCTTATTAAATTCAATCCTCAGTATTGGTTAGCAGCCCTGAAAGTACCTCAGACACTCTGATTTTAAATATTGAAAGACGGTAGTTCCCAAAACAGTGGCTGGAACCTCCAGCTTAGACTCTGAGGGGGGTTGATTTTTAGAAAACAAACATAAACTGATTAAAAATAGCATATTTTTGCCCAAATTGGAAGAAGAGATTTTTTTTTAAAAAGCTGTGAGGCTGCTTCTCCTGCATACTGTGTGTTCACTCAGTACTACAGCTTATGCATTTAGAGTACTTTATGTAATGTGTTTTGCAACTAGCCTGTATTAAATTGCTCTATAACATATATTATGTTTGATAAGTTGCTGTGTCCTTTTATGTTATTCCTGTTCTCAAACATGCCTATTAGGATGTATATATAGCTGCAACATAGGTTTGCTTTAACCATCTCTGGGCCCAGTGGGAGTCAAGACCCTCTGGCTATGGGATATTTAGGGGGTCAGGGGCTGAAAAATTCAGGAAACCCCAATAAATACAAGAACAAACACGACACTTTTCAGCTCAGAGAGTCTTCAGGGTGCAGAGTTGAGGGAAACAGATGAATTTCAAATCACAGTATAGACAAATCATATATATATCCTATTTAAGGACATTAAAATGAATGTGCATACACTACCTGAGTGTATGGACTCTCAGGGCCACTGAGCATACTATGATTTAATCACACCATGGTTTCATCACGATGTTTCACAAGGAATACAATGTTGTTTTATGATTTTCTCATGTTTTTGTATACCGTTTTTTTTTTTTTTTTGGACTGCGTGGTCTCATTTTGAAACATTTTTAGGGCTGTTTATCATCATAATTTTCCCTAAATTTAAATATTTTTGTTGGACACATTTTTTAAACTTTGACTAATGGTTCAAACAAGCACCACAAGTGGCAATTTATTACGAGCATTTTAGTTTTCATTGTGACGTCGACTTACACAGGTTATGATATTTTTAGATCATCCTTTAAATCCTTCTCTGGTCTTTTGTTTAACCCTGAAAAGCTCATCTCTATAAGTAATATTTACAAGTTTTTATCAATTAAAAATAATCCCTTCCTGACCTAAGTTTACTTTGATGTAACTCAGTTTATGAAGTTTATGCAGCTTGAGCACACAGCTCACCTCTGACTCTGCTCAGATTCTATAAAACTACTTTACATTACACAATATTGGCATTCATTCATAATTTTTTAACCAGAAACTAATTCTGAAGAAAAACAACAATACATAATGAGTCCCATCCTGCAAGTTGAGAGGATTTGGTCCTTAAATTTGTTCTGTGTGACACACTGGAAGTCTGAATCAATGTTTTTGAGACTGTCATTAGTACACTGCAGTGCAAAGGCAAAAATACTAAGCCATTGTGTTGGTTATTTCACTGATGATGTGTTTTCTCGCATATAAAAAAACAACGTATTGACATGTTTACAAGGTAAAAATAAAATGTGATTTTCACCAGAGGGGGAGTGTTGCATGTGTCTTTTTTGAAGTGACAGAATTTACACATCAGGTGAGCTGTGCCACATGATTGGTTAATGAATCTGAAACCGTTACACTCAACATCCTGATGAAGACTTAAACATTTAATCATGTATGAATGAAGGATTTTCATATTTAAAATCAGAGTTCCTCAGAAACCTTCTGGACTGTGGATCAAGCATAAGGACTTGTATTAATAAGAAGTTGGACACTCACTGTTTTGTCATCTCCACTTGGCCAGCACTAAATTTGTATTGTCTTACGTTTCCTATTTTTTTCCTTATACTTGTGTGATTGATTGTGTATTTGCATAGGACACAGTAAAGATTATTCATAAGATTATTGACAATTTCTTTTCCAGAATAATGATTCAACATGATGCAACTCTCCATTCAACCACATTTCTATTCGCTGCTCAGTGAATTAATACATATTTAGTTGCACATTGCTCACCACACAACAATATTTCCTATCAAACATGTAATTCTATTCTACCCGTATTCTGACATTTGTGTTAAATTTCCCTGCATGAAACTGAAGGTGCTGCAAGTTTTTTTTTTTTTTTTTCAACTTTATAGCAAACACAAGTTGTCATTGTATTTCTTGTGATATCCCCTCAATCACTAAATGTGTGTGAAAAAACCTGTAAAAATTATTTTGGTTATTGCGGTTTTAGCTGCATTACAAGGAGAGCCAGACTATTAAAACATGTCCTTTTAGCCAGTTCCAGGCATTTTAAATCATGCACACTTGCACCTGCTAACTGCACTAAATACATGTGTATTTATTTGTCAGTTAATGTGACAGGAACATGTCAGAGTGCATGAGGAGCAAGAGGTGTGTTGTGATTACCAGGGAACTGGTAGGTGTATCCCGGAGTGATGCCGGCGTAGCTGCGACTGGTGTAGGTGGCAGTCTGGAAGCCTGGATAACCTGAGGGAAGAACATCACTGTTAATGTCAACCATCAAGAAAAGAAAAGGCACTGGATGTTGTTGTAGTGGCAATTACACACAAAAGAAACTCTGAACACAAAATGGAGTAACAGGTGTGTGTTGTTGTGCTGCCCCCTAACAGTGAAGCCTTGTACAGGCTGCAGGTGGATGATATTCTACACCTGCGGTCTAGATTTCTCCAGGACAGGACTGAGCAGCTTAGCGTCTTTGTCTTCAGTTTCACTCTCAGCAGTGCACATTACACAGAGATTTCCCCGACACCTCAGAGGGCCGCCCTCGCGACGACATTTAGAGGAATTACGAGCAACACGAGACAACACAAAGTATAAATTTTTTGATTTTTCCCTGGCGTGGTGTCATATTCCTTCATCTGCTCTGGCTGAACAAGTCAAACGCTAAAAGACAGCAGTTCTCACACTGAACAGTAGGTGGTAGCATTGGAGTGGAAAGTTTAGCTTCAGATGGACAAACAGGTCCTAACTAACATCAACACAACACAAAACTGTTAGAAAACGAGTCGGCTGCAGTGCAGAGGATAATGTTTAAGGCAATGAAAACAGTCAAAGGTCTATTCTGCTAATTTTACACCCGGAGGATTGGCCGTATGTGAGGGGGTGTCAGCTGAGAAGGAGTAGTTGAAATGTCTTCTCCGGCTCTGTAGGGACCTTCGAAACTATTGAAAACTGGCCCTGATGTCACAGTGATGTCATCAGAGTTATCTCGGGCTGAGCCTCTGACCAAAAGAACGCAAACTGGAGGTTAAAGGTTTAAAGAGGGTGTAATAAAAGGTGCTATTGAGGAGCCTTACGGGAATGAATTTATCCAGCATTTTTGGAGAATGACTAATGCTGGGGACATAAAGTCAGTGTGTCTCTCTGAGGCTTCTGTTTGGGCCACTCTTTTTATAAAATTGCCATTTGTGAGTCCCTGAAGTGCAATATTATTTTGCTACCCTAAAAAGGCAGCTGAAATGTAACAAAGTACTGTATTATAGTGACAAATATGAAGTCCTTTTATGTTACTTGTCTTTTCATTGCGCTACATCTCAGAGGAAAACATTGCACTTTTTCCTTTACTACATTTGTCTGACACCTGTATAACTGCTAAAATGAAGGTGTTTGCACACAAAACATATAAGGAGCATATAAAATACAATGTTTTGTAATAAAATAACTAGCCTACAATTTATATGAAGACAGCTGAAACGATTAGTTGGTTGACAAAAAGTCTATTTTGATATATGTTCAGGGTTCTTGTGAAGGCATTTCATTCGTTTTTGGTATTTTTACAAACTAAACAACGAATCAACTAATGGTGAAAATAACATACACCATAATATATGTTAATATAATAGCATAACAGTTACAAGGGAGATATTTCTGCATTGAGTAGTTTTACTTTTTTTTTAATTAAAAGTACATTTTTGTGATAATACTTACATGTTTACCACTTAAGTAAAGATTTCAATGCAGAAACTTTACTTGCACTACTTTTCAAGTGCCCACAGGTGTTACCAATACTGACCAAAACATGGTGACTCTACTATATATTTTTTTACTACTTCAAATTTTTTATGTGCTTCATATTTGTCTCCTCTCTGGTATATGTAAGCACAGCTCACAGTTCAACTGAGTTAGTAAAGCTGTTTTATTGTGCCGAGAAGTGAACCATTTTTTGGCTTTTACAGAATTAGATTTCAGAAAATGGTTTACTTTTAGGAATAATTTTAATTGAGATGTAGAATAAAGTGATTTTGATGAAATATCTGAATTTTAAGCATAGACGTGGATCATTTTCCTAATGGAAGTCCCACAAATGAATTTCAGGCCATTGGAAAGTTGCAAATACAATGCTTCTGCCTGTTTTTTTGTTTTGTTTTGTTTTTTTATTTCTACAGTTTCTTGCTAGTAAATGGTGCAACTTTGATGATTTTTTTAAAGAATAGTATTACATTCAAACTCACTGCTAGGTTTAGGGATTCAGAGGATTCATATGTAAAATTGTACTTGTAAGAAAGCATGAAACAAGTCACAGTTACAACGTAATGTTACACCAGTCTGGATGAGGCATTGCCATAAAACCAGCAGTTTCAACAAGCTTCTAGTCTCTATGGTTGAATCAAAGCTGCATGGAGGAGAATTATCAGCTGTGTGTTCAGCCCACTCCACTGGTCATCTTCCTCCCCATGAGGCGCCGTGTGACCTTTCAGGAAGCTCAGCCTTTTACTGCAGGAGTAGTTATTGTCAGGTTCAGGTGTGCAGTCGCATCCTTCCTGTCCTGATCAATACTAACTTACCCAGCATACCAATGCCCAGCATGAAGGCGTCCATCCCATAGGGCATCACCCGAGAGCGCCCCCTGGCCGAGCCGGTGGGGGACATCACCTCCTTGGGCTGAGCTTTCTTACACTCCACCTGTTTAAACACAAAAACACAAACCAGCTCTTTTAGTTTGTAAATGACATGCTGATATTAAGACAAAAAAAGAAGAAGCTGCAGCTCACCATTTTGTTGTTGATCTCGTGGAAGTGGATCTCGCAGACTTTCTCCACCACGTCCTCGTTCTCAAATGTAACGAAGCCAAACCCTGACAAGATGGGTTCATGAGCAAAGAAAAAAAAAATCACACAATATGGTGGAATTAGCCTTTCTGTACACTAGCATAGCTAACAGTCTGCAGTAATTAGTGCTGTAATAGCCGCTTAACACGTTTGCCCCCCCTCCCCACTCCGCCAATGCTGCTATTCTGCACTCATCCTTTTCTTCCCTCCCTTCCTGGCCAGAAGGCCCGGGCAAAGCTGGTAGGCTGTCATAATCGATCAATCGCAGGGTGGGGAGGAGGCGCTTAAGGAGGCTTTATCCTGATCCCGATTAACGGACTGGCTAATTAGACTAGCCCCGTTCGTCTCCTCCAGCTCAGCCCACAGGAAGGAGGCCCGCGGGGAGTGGAGAGGAGGGAGGTGGGGGGGGGGATCAATAGACACCCAGGAAGGACTGTGAGGAAGAGGAGTAAAAAAATACAGAGGAAGGGCCATGGAGGAGAGGGCAGGGGACGAGGGACGAGGAGGGTCAGTGTGGCTCACCTCTGTGTCTGTTGGTGGTCTTGTCGAACATGAGCATGGCGTCGTCGACCTGAGGGGAGACAAACAACACAGTTTTTTTAACTCTCTCTCTCGCCACGCGGCATATTGCCTGACCTCAGCCCTTCTCAAGTTCTGCAGGGAGGCTCAGCAACAGATGGACAGAGGGGAGGAGGAGGAGGAGGAGGAGGCAGAGGAGGAGGGGGGAGAGAGGCAGCGGAGAGACTGGAGACGAGCGACAGGTTACAAAGAGGAGGCCTGGGGGGGCAAGGACAGGAAAATATGTTGAAATACTGTACAACAAGGCCCGGTGGCTCACACACATAATGGGTGGCATAAAAAGTTGCGTCCACTGCTAAACTGCCCCGGTCACAATCCTCCTCACAGAGAGCCCATAATCCAACCCTCCCCACCTCCCTTCAAAGTTTGACATTCCCATGGCAACTGTACAAAAAGAAAAAAAAAACCCTCATAAAAAAAAATAAAAAAAAAAAAGGCTCGAGCCAACATCAAATATGCTTTATGAATGGTGGGAGAGTGCCAGTGAGACAAAGAGGGCCGCAAAGAGAGAAACGCTGACACAAGAAAAGTAGCCGGTCACAAGCAGAAAGGTGAATCCTGTGGGCAGGTGGAGACTCGATGAGAGGGGGAGAGCTGATAGCGAGAGGAATAGCGACAGGTGGAGATATGGTGAAAGAGAGCACGGAGAGTCCTGAGAGAGAGGGAGAGAGAGAGGGAGAGGAGGAAGAAAAAAAAAAGATTGGGTCAAAGAGGAAAGGGAGGAAAAAGAAGAGACAAAAGGGAGAGGGAGAGGGAGAACAAAGAGGCCTGGAGGCTTTGTTTGTTGGCACAGTCAGCCATAATTCCTCCTCCTCTTCTCCCTTTGACCTCTCCCTCCGGCCCGGCCTCCCTTTATAGAGCAAAGACACAGGTGTCTATTCTATACACACACACACACACACACACCCAGAGTTTCTTATGTCAAAGTTGACCTACTCTTTTCTCTTTTTCCCTCTCTCTCTCTCTGTTTTCTCTCTTGTCACAAGCAGACATGTTTATACTCCAGCCTGCACACAGAGATCCACGTAAACATTTGGTAAATTAATCTGTGCTCTTGGTCTATAATAAGTGTACTGGATATGGTCCACTGAATAATTTGTCATAGTCACATAGGAGTGTCAGCACAGAGTGACCGTGTGTGTGTGTGTGTGTGTGTGTGTGTGTGTGTGAACCCCCAAGGGCAGTTTGCCTACAGAAAGGTCAAAGGTGAGTGAAGAGTGTCAGTGTGAAAGGGGACCTGTTAGTCTGCCTCTCAAGTCACTGCTTACTTCCAGCCTGACATTTTGCTCAGCAACTGTGGATCTCTGAAGAAAACACTCTTTATTTTGGACTTTTAGGAGAAAGTCCAGATTACCACAATTTATAACCATCAATTTTCGAGGAAAGCAAAGGGTCAGGAGTGCAACACACTGTTGTGATTCATGCTAAAGAGTCGCAATCTTAACCCGGCAAACACGCGCGCCATCCCAACACGCCCCAATCAGAAACAACAACAACAACAGTAAACGCGGCAAACAGAGTTAATCGCACGCCACAGCTCAATATTTCAAACACCGGGCATTTTAACGGCACACCGCCAAACAATATTCCCTCTCATCCTTTTTTTTTCCCACCTCTCATCTTCCCTGTTATCCCCTGCCCATCCCTCTCCGCGCTCCTTTGTCCTCACCAGGACGGGACACAAAAGGTCCAGTGAGGCAGTCTAATCAGGAACTTCCATGGATGGCTGGAGCCTACATTTCACCGTCCATCCCTCGATATCTCTCTCGGCAAAAATTCATCTAGGCGTTATGATTGAGGAGGGAGCACGGAGAAACTGGAGGCCGAGCCTTTTGGCACCGAAAATAAAAGTGCCACGCAGTCGGAAACGTGGCGGCTAAAGCTGAGTCTTTGCATCTTTGACTTTGAGAAGTTTCAAGGGCGAAAGGTGCAAGTTGTTGATTTTTCTTTTGAGGGGGAAAAAAAGTTGGATGTTTTCTTTTTTTTGTTGTTTTGACTTATTTGTTTTGCACAAGATCCAGAAAAAAAAAGTAACTTAAACCACTTAAATCTCACATTTTATTGACAATCACTTTCACATTTAGGAGAGCTGACAACCGAAAACGTCCAATATGCAGATAAGTTCAGTACAAACTAGCAAAATATTTGTCTAGCTTTGTATAGAGGCATAATGGCCGTCGTAACTACCCCCCTTCAACACACACACACACCCCATCTTTGCCCCAGTTCCCTCTCCTACGCCTCCGCAAACCTCTCAGTAAGACCCTCCCTCCCTCGTCGGTGCCTTTGTCAGCCCATCATCTATTCTCTGCCCCCTGCCTTTCACGCTCTTATGAAATATATATAAGAAACTTGGGAAAAGTAGAAAAGTAGTTTTTTTTAAAAAATACACAAATGCGCGCAAGAAACTGAAGGATGAGCGAGAAGTTTACAAGGTTTCTGTGGATCTGTCAACTTGTATTTACTATAACTAAACTCCTGAGCTGACCCCCACCCAGCACACTCATGCTAACACCCCCGAGCACCACCTCATCCCTCCTCCTTCAGAACAAAACCCCTTACCCACAGAATTACTTGGGGACAATGGGCAAGCCAGGTCACCACGGTAACGGGCCAGGGGGGAGGTTGTGGGTAGGAGCAGCTGTTACATCAGATTAATTCAGATTCTGATAATCCCTCCTCCTTCCTCACCATCACCACACACTCACTACAAAACTTTTCTCTCCCCCTCCCCTCGGCTCCCCTCTCCAGTCCCCCCTCTAAACTTCGCCTGCTGCTCCCGGAGCCTCTCTCTCTTGCCTCGTTATTTTTCCCGACTCTCCTCCGAGCCTTTTTCTCTCCCTCCTTTCTCGCCCCCCCCTCCTCCTCCTTCGTCGCAGTAACTCCTTCACTTCCATGCGGTCGCCGCTTGACTCAAAGTGAAGCTTTTCTCAGAGAATTTTGTGGTGAATCAGAATCGGCAGAGCTGGTGGGATGTTGTACGACGGGAGCTGCTGAGCTGCTGCCACAAACTCATGCGAGTCCTTTATAATCCACAGAGTTGCCCTTATTTCCATTCTGAACCACGCTGCTGGTTTTTGGGGGTTTTTTTTGCCACAATATTTTGGCGACAATATGACACCACAGCAACTTTAAAACTCTGTTGAACATCACTCACCTTCCCAAACTGGTCAAAGTACTGCTTGACGTCCTCGATGGTTGTGTTCACTGACAGGCCTCCCACAAAGATCTTCTTGGTTCGAGTCACCAGCTGGAAGAAGAAGAGGACAGTAACTGATGAACCAGTTCAAAAACAAATACAGGCATTTGTAGCTTGATTTGGGGTGTTGTGATACACCAATTTCAGCAATAAAAATGATATTTTAAAAATGAAATATAGATGTCTGTGAATAAAACACATGGTTTGGTAATATGGATGATAATCAGCAATACATTCATGGTTACAGACTCTCTGTCCAGCTCCTTTCACTATTTTGAGAGTAATTAATTTGTCAAAAAGTGACACTAAACAAAGGTAAAAAATTACTGCTCCTGCTTAATGTAATTTTTAAAAACATTTTCTATAGATATTGCAATTACATGGTGAATTCTTTAGGCCACAATAACTGTGTACTGGAAACTGAATATCTATGATTTGTTATTTTAAATCACATTCAGTGTTACTTGAATTTGTGGTGCTCAGTAACACATCAGAAATAAAATTACAGCTTCCACTGCTAACACACATTGTTTTTTATGTCACTAAATTCCCTAAAAACGCTGTTAAATATTAGTGCAGTAGTTTGTATGCTCATGTCAAGTCCTGATTGAGCTGGAAAAAAACAGGAAGCTTCATTTTCTTTAGGACTATGAGAACTCTGGGCTGCTAAGTATGGATCCAGTAGTTCAACAGATGTAATGGAAAAGTTATAAAATAGATCATTTAACTCTATTCAGGACTGTCATGTTGCCACACGTAGTAGGTCTTTTGGGGTTCCTTGGACCCCAAGAAAAAATATGTGCAAAATATTTGTTGGTATTTATTATAGACTTTTATACTATGTTAAATAAATGTTCTGATAAGTTGGTGTATTTTGGGTTATAAATGCATGACAAATGTCCCACTTTTTATCCTAAAAAACTGAATAAAAAAAACAACACCTGTCACCTAAACCAAATGGCTTGGGGTCCAAAAGACCCCAAAAGTCCTGAATAGGGTTAAAGTAGTATTGCTCCCAAAACATTAAAACAATTACATTTTTAACTCGGTAAAACTTTGAAAGAATACACAAGCTTAAGTAATATTTGTGATATTTGCTAACTTACAGCTCAGAAAATCTTTTAAACAAAAACACTATTTCCTGCATTGGAGATAAAGCCAAAACTGCTTGCAGCAAATGTTTGACA